CTGCCATGGCAGCGGGTTGGACTAGATGATCTACTCAGGTCCCTTCCGACCCTAGAAACTATGGATCCATCCAGAGGCTCCAGAGAAGGTGGATCCAATCCATTGCTCACCAGACTCAGAATACAAGGTGTATTAGGGATAGAGAAACTGGTAGGCAACTTATGTGCTACCAAGGAGTAATATAATGTGTTAATGTATATATTGTGATTTTTAATATTTTTTCTTGATAAGGTTTTTTGTTGTTGTTGTTCAGTTGCTATTATATTTATTATTACTGTCAAAAAAGATAAAATTTAGATTTTTTTTTTAATTCACTAGTTATTATTAGTGACTTAGGAACATTTGATGCCAGGTATCACACACTAGGTGCTGCTGGTTTTTACGTATATGTAGTGAACCAAGAAGGGCTTTGCATAGCCCTTTCAGAACTATTTACAGTGCTAAATATCTTCAGGAACCATGTTTGTTTGTTTTCTGAATTTCCAACATTAGTGATTAGTACTTATATGTTTTTAGTCAGCAAAAGTTTTCCCTTTTTAGGCTCCACCTCTGTAAATACTTATGCAAGTACATCGGGTCTTTGAGCTCAGAGGAGATAATTCATATGCATGAAACTGAACACATGTTGAATTGAGACCTCGTCAAATTTTAATACTGTCTACTGCATTCCTACATCCTCAGTAATTTAGGCTTCAATCCAGCAAAACACTCAAACACACACTTAAGTGCTTTGGTCAATAAAGACTTTGCTATATAAGGTGACAATAAGACTAATGCAAGTTGGCATCACTTTGTGCATCGCTGAAGAGGATAATCACGATATGGATGTATTGTGGTATTTCAAAATGCTGGGAAATGGAAGCTATTTTTTTGTAAAAGAGTGTATACATGTGCCCAGGGCTCTTTGTAAACGGGAAAAAATGCCATCTAAACAGCACATTTAAATTTTAGGCAATTAAATCTACCACATACTCCATTATAAACTGCTAAATTTCAAAGTTATGCTATCCAGAAGGCTCTTTATTTTATAAAACTCTTGCATCCAAAAATTATATTGCATGTGAAAACTGTACAGAATCCATCAATTGGAATTCTAGTTCAACTAAAAAAATCTGTAGAAAACTGAACGTGTGTTTTTCACAACAGGTTCCCTAACAGCTAAATTACTGAAAAAAGATCTAAATCTGTTTTAATCTGTGATCTCTTTAATGTGTACAATGCTAGAATGCTAGTAAACTACAACACCTATCAGAGTTACTGTAGTTCCCAGGTTTTTCCTCTCTGCCTTCCTCCTATATGCCCTTTTCCTTCTTTAAGGCTAGGGACAGAAGTTACACACAAACCAGTTTAAGTGATCAGAAACTGTTACAGGTTTAAACCTGTAACAGATCAGAATCTCAGTGCACAAAAACCAGTTTCAAAATGGCTGAAACTGATTTAAGATTAACTTGGTTGAATGTAGTATCAGACTTAACTGATTTCGGTCAAACTGGTTTATGGAACTTCTGTCCAAGACCTCTTCCTGGTTCAAGTTAAATCAGAGTCCCCCGGCATTTTGTAGCCCTGGGCTGAGCGGTACTGTACTATCTGCTCCAGAGAGCAGGGCTGGCCCCACCCCTTTTCCCCCTAGTTGGAGCAGTGAGGGCTGGCTGACAAGGATGGGGAGCAGGAGTGAGGGGGACAACTACCCCCCTGGTAAACCCCAGCTGAGGTCTGGGGCCAGAGAGGGGGGGGTTAAACACCCCTTCCCCTGTTCAAACTTACTGCTGGCTATGACTATGGACTACAAATCCCAAAGGCACCTGGAAGCAGGAAGAGGAAATGATGAGCAACCCTGCAGAGTCCTGCTGATGTAAGTCTGGACTGCAAATCCCAGAGACCTCAAGGACAACAGGAAGAGGAAGTGAACTCCCAGCCAGACAGCTGTGCTCTAGCACCCCCACCCCACAACTTCTGGCCTCAGCCACTGCAGGCATGTGGCTGCAATTCTTGAGTCAAAGGTAAATGTCTGGTCATTTCTGTTTCAATTTAATCTCTACAGTTTAAACTAACCTATAAAGACTGAACTGATTCAGCCTCATGCTTTTTGACTGTCTGTACTTAGCCTCAGGACCTGGTTCAAAGTCCACTAAAGTTAATGGATTAATTTTCAAACGTGGAGTGTGAAATTTAACATAGGGGGCTGGGTGATATTAACTTATAAGAAAAACATTTTGGTGATCTTACGCTCTTGGTCTCATTCAAGATTTCTACTAAGTGTAACTGTCCTCCAAATATAAAAGGACAGACATAAAACAAATTAACTTTTCATTGTACAACATACAATGAAAACATGTCACACTGGTATGGGTTTTCTAAATTAGATAAAAAGGTTGCTAATGGTATTACAATTTTTATTTTGCATGAAGTGATCTGTCATGTGACATTAGCATCACACTGGTATTCAATTTTGCAAATGTTTGGCAAATCAGGCTAGAACTATACTCTACAAGTGACTTTTAACAAGGCTACTAGACTTTATCATCTCACTTTAGCATAAATAAAACTTAAAGCAAAATTTAAAAATGTGACAGGATGTGGTATTTGTATTTTAACTGCAGAACTCCACATTAATACCTTTTGATGTTTATGTTATCTACCACAACCAGAACTTGAATAGGACTTCTGTATTTTATTGGTGGTTATTTGTGTACAAGAAAATTATTTCTTAACGAAATGGAAGATTTATCAATATCAAATCACTTAAAGTAATATGCGATAGAACTGAATCTATCATAAGCTTCTATGGATGTTCTTTTTTATTCCTTTTCTCAATGTTGGATGAAAAAAATATAAAAGACAAGAGCTAAAATCAACATGAAAAAACTGTTAATATGAGCAGATTTCTTCCTAGAGTGGCCTGTTCTGAGAAGATTTTGAATATAATCTTATGGAAAAGTGAAAAATATTCTGTGGGGGGGAAAATTATAGAAACTTTTGCTGATGAAAGAAAAACCAAGGGGAAAATGCAAAGGGAAACCAAAGAGAGTCACAAAGGTGTTCTCCTAAGTCACTATGATGGTTCAGCGGAGGGAACAGAGAATATTGGTAAAAATGAGTGAAAGCACACTAACAAAGTGGATAAAATGTTTCTAAAGCCTCAAAGAGCTTGCATACATTACAAAATTTACCACAAGTTAACTGATTGCCAAGAGTAGGATGGACACTATCCAAATATTTATCCCAGTAAACCACAAATATTTACATCCAAGAATAATTTATTTTAGCCATTACTTTTGGAAAAAAGGTATAGTAGCTCACAGTAAATTCTTTAAACTAAAAAAGCTCTCAAGATGTTGACAGGTATTGTTAAAAGTACTTAATCATGTTAAAGGAATTTGCTCAGAGTATGATAAAATCCACAAAATAAGAGGTTGAATTACGATCCTATGGGGTGCCAATAAAAAGATATGTACTTTATATATAAATGGATATATATAAAGAGGGATACTGTATGTACAGACACACCACTACACAGACAGACACAAGATTAAAGTAAAGTCTCTGACTTACAGCCCCCTTGACTGGACAGATCTACCAGGATTGAAGCCTTTGCTCATGCTCGTGGGCCTTGGCCCTCTCTCTTCAGGGTCATCTCGCTCTCCATCCAGGTTACTCTTGAGAAGCCCATTCCTGAATTCAAAAGAACATTTTAAGTGATGGTCTGGGGGCCAAGTAGGCCCCAAACCTGAGGGGAAGCTTTTGTTATTTCAATATAAAATGCATCTCATCCTCCTTGACTAGCCTCCCCCAACTTCTCCCTCTCACTTGTTTCTCTCAACCGTTTTGTTTCACGCCATTTAATCATTTGCATCCATCTGGAATAGCCCTGCCTAGCTACCACAGTGACCTGCATCAATGAAGAAATCATCCACAAAGTAATAATTTAAGGCTAATCACCATGGCATAGACCCCACTTCTCTGCCTTGCAATTTTACATTAATTTCTATTTTTTCCTGCAAAACAAAAGGCAGTGTCATCCAGAATTCTAATAACTGGATCTCAGCAGCAAAGCCATAATTACTCTTCCTTCAGGGTTTCCAACATTTCTTTTTAAAGTGGTAGTAAAAGAATTTTATAAACAGGGAACATTGCACCGTTCCTGTTCTCAGGGATGCTTCTGGGATAAGATCAGCCAGAAAAAGTTTTTAAAAGCAAAACCTATATAAAATAATCTGGTGCTGTTTATGCACTTTGCAGCCATTTCTTCTAAAAGACTGCTGTTACAACTACAAACAGGGCAAAAGCAAACACATTCTTTCTGAGGCATTAAGTGATTTAATTTTCTTCTCATCATTCATTTCTTCCATCTCCTCATCACCTCCACTCTCTCCACTGTTTTCTTTCCAGCTGAATTAATATTTCAGGTCTGCTAAAATATTTGCTGTCATACATGAAATAGAAAAAAAAAAGACACTGTGAACTGGACACCAATCCATAAAACCAACAGCACTGGGTCACGCATATCCTTTATATTATCTTTCTCTATCTTTGGCACCTTTTCATGCTATTTTATTATGATTATTTTATTATGAACTTCTGTGCAATGAGCTCACCTGTCTCAAAACATAAAGTAACTTTTTGAGATAAAAAAAACCCAGATGATTTGGCCTATTATGTGGCGTTAAGTTATGCTACTGAGTAACATGGGAACAACATTTAGCTTGGAAAAGGGAACTCTGTAATCTACAAAACCATGTTTCAGCGCCAATTTACTGCCAAGCTGAAAATCATATCAAAATTGTTGCAAGCTTTTGAACAGACACCTCTTAGTAGAACACTGGGTTCATAGTCCCCTAGCCCACTAACTCAGAACAAGACTGTATGTCAATCTACTTACTCCATGGAAAGAGAGGTTATGTCTACATATAGAAGCTTGCGCTACATTATCTAAAGTGGGTTTTTAAAACTGATGATGATGTGCATGTAAACAAGCCTGGAACTTCCAAATTAGTTGTTGGGGGGGGGTTTGCACACATGCTTGAGCATGCACATGCACACACACTATCTCCAAATGGATGCACTTGTGTTTACATATACCTGTGCATATGACAAAGTTCAGATTCAGGCAGTACACAACAGAATGAAATACTGACCCCTCTTCTGTGTTTTCTTCTTGTTCTGCAGAATCAAAATTTCTATTTTAAAAAAGACTCCAGCTGTCATGGCTACTGAGATAGTTACGTTCATTTTACATTTTCAAGCCTGACAGATAGTGGGGCACAGAAAGGTCTACAAAAAAAGGTGAAACATGACAGTTGCCAAGGTATTGATCCCTGCAAAATCCACACACAAAGAGAAAATGTGGCTGTGCGCCAGCATGTATACAGGGAGAGGATAGCCCACTGCCATGACACACAAGCTGTAGAAGTCACCCTGGCAATGAGAATAGCTCATAAGAGGTGGATCTAGTCCCCACTATGGAAATTCTATTCAAAAGGTCAAATTATCTTTATCTAACTGCCTCTTAAGCAACCTGATGCAAATTGAAGAAAAATCTCCACATACAAAGAGATTAGCTCTAGTGTTGCTTAAAAAATAGGTTCTTCTAATCGGCTAAAAAATATTTTTGTGGTGAAATATTAAACACTAAAATGTTTCATCTGAAAACCAATATATTTCACTTCAAAACTTTACCGTTGTTTTCCAGTAAGTTTGTTGCTCTGTATCTTATGTTCCCATTTACCTCTATGTATCAGGGTCTATGGCTGGACTATAAAGCCATTTCTTCTCCTCTTGAAGAAGGGTTGCACATGGCACAGAAATCCCTGGCTACAGTGTAACATAGGAGATGTCTACAGAACCTACAGGCTAGGGACAGACATTACACATAAACTGGTTTAAGTGAT